CCTGGATGCAGGAATCTTTTAGGTACATTTCCACTCCACAGTTTCATGAAGTAGCCTGAGGAGCAGCCAGCTGGAACCTTCTGTGCTTGGAGTGGGAGCAGGTGTGCTGACTCGGCAATACAATGGCAAATGTTTTTTTCCTCCTGTTTAATGGATATTTACAGGGAACAGGAATTTCCTTTTCTGAGCTGGATTGTGTATATGCTCCTTGCTTGTGTTCCTGCACAGCAGAGAGGTGGAGGGATACATAGCCATGCACCCAAAGGAGGTGAGACCAGCTGTATTGAGCTGGGGTTGAGGCACTACAAGGCTGCATTACTGGTCAGTATCATTAACTTTCCTTGTCCTTATAGGTAAAGTTTGAAATATCCCTCTCTTCAACCTAAAGCAGGGGTGGGCAAACTTTGGCTCACGGGCCAGATCCGACCCACCAGCCATTTTAACCTGACCCTCGAGCTCCCACTAGGGAGCGGGGTCTGGGACTTGCCTCACTCCAGCCGAGGAGCAAGATTGGGGGCCGCTCCACGCTGGCCCTTCTGGCTCTCCAGCCAGGGATCAGGGTCGGGGGCCGCACCACGTGGCTCCCAGAAGCAGCAGCATGCCCCCCCCCTCCGGCTCCTATGTGTACAGGCCGCCAGGGGCCTCCGCTCTGCACGCTGTCGCCACCCCAAGTGCCGCCCCTGCAGCTCCCATTGGCCAGGAACCACACCTTTGAACCCCTTGATCCCAGCCCAGAGCACCCTCCTGTACCCCAAACCCCTCATCCCAAGTCCCACTCCAAAGCCTACACCCCAAGCCGGAGCCTGAACCCCTTCCCTCACCCCAACCCCCTGCCCCAGCTCTGATCCCTCTCCCACCCTCCAAGCCCCTTGGTCCCAGCCTGGAGCACCCTCCTAGCCCCCAAACTCCTCATCCCCAGCCCAACCCCAGAGCATGCACCGTGGAGCCTGCATCCCCAACCAGAGCCATCACCACCTCCTGCACCCTAATTTTGTGAGCATTCGTGGCCCGCCATACAAAATCTATTCCCAGATGTGGCCCTCAAAGTCAAAAGGTTTGCCCACCCCTGACCTAAAGCGTATGCTGTAGTTAGTGTTCTTCAGTAATCTGAGCACAGAAAGACCAACAGTAATTTGTGAATTCTCTCAGGTTCTATCACTGCCTCTATCTGTGATATTAGACAAGTCACTTCCTCTCTCTGTGTTTCAGTTTTCCTTTCTGTAATATGGGAATAAGAATACCTAGCTCACAAAGGGTTGTAAACCTCAATCAATGATCAAAGAATTTTTGAAATGCAAAACTTTATTACTTTATAACACTTTTTATTTATTATTATTACCAGTCATAAGTGTCATACTGTGAAATATCCATTAAACAGACTTCCTAAAGCCTCACTTAACTGGCCTTCGCTTATATTCCTGTAGGAAATGGGACATTACTTCAGCACCAAATTATTTTATGGTTTAAAAACTTACTCCTGGGGGAATTCTGTGCAAAAAAAACAAAAAATTCTGCACCAAAAAATTAAAAATTCTGTACACAATATTTTAAAATTCTGCAATATTCTGTATATTTTATTTGTCAAAATAATGCAATACAAGTCCTCTAGTTTCAATTATTTCGGTAATTTATTTAAACTACAATACAATGGATGGAGAATGGGAGTGGGGAGCATTGGAGGAAATCCCCAAACCCTCTTGCCTAACAGTAATGTAGCTGGGTTTAATATAATTTAGGCTCAGATTTAGGTTCCAAGTCTTGGTTTTGGCTCCATGGCAATCCACAAAATTTCCACCAAATTCTGTAGGTGCCTAAATTCACCGAATGCCAAAGTCTCAGGGTAAAAATTCCCAAGGTGCCTAAGTTTCTGCCTCTGAGTATGCGCTTTGCTGCCTCTCTCCAGGCATCCAAATGCCTATCTCCCTCCTAAGCCTCAGAGTGATCCACGAGCCAGAGCCAGACAGGCAGTCAGCTGCGTAAGTCACGTGCAGGGCCCACGTTCTGGTAAGTGTGCCCAGAGGCCACCTACCAGACAGAGTCTCATTCAAAATCTGGCTGAAGGAAGAGGTGGCAGTGCTGTGTAAGTACTTGTACACCATGGAACAGTCAGAGAGAGAGAGAGACTCTCTCTCTATAGCCTGGTGGCTAGGGCACCCACTTGTGAGGTAGGAGGCCCTGAGTCCAGTCCCCCCACGCTTGACTCTTTCTTTATTGATCCTCAGCAGGACAGGTTGAGGGAGCCCCACATCAGAATACCCCATAATTCAGTGGTTATCACACTCACCTAGGATGTGGGAGACCCAGGTTCAGTTCTTCTCTTGGCTTGAGGGGAGAAAAGGGGGAGAAGAGAGACCCCTGTTCAAATCCTAAGTGTAGGAGGGAAGAATCTAGTTCTCCCACATCCCAAGTGAGTGCTCTGAACCGTGGGCTGAAAAGCCTGGCTCTTCCTCCTCCTGTGTCCTCCCCCTCCCCTGTTTTGTATGGGCAAGGCAGGCATCTAACTCATTCCCACAAGAAACTATTTAGGCACCTAAGCCACCTGACACCAGGCGGAGGGTTTTGTTCGTGAATCACTAAACAGAGAGCGGCGCCTCCCTGCAACCTGGGCATAGGCACTAATCTCCGTTGGAGGAGTGGAGGTTGGCATACCCTTTTTGTCAGCATCGGCTAGCCTTTGTTAGCTTAGGCAGCTCCCTGCCTAGCTTGCTGCCTTTTTGTGGCTTGCAGTCTAAGATGCCCCTCTCTCCCCATTCGTTGTACAGGGAACCTAGGTGCCTAACTCAGGCTTTGTGGATCGCAGTGAGATGCCGTGAAAATCACAGATGTGCAAAAGGCGCCATGCCTCTGTTACAAAGTCTGAGTTCTTCTGTGCATCCAGGTGTTAATAAGTTTTTAATTTTGAAAAGGAAGATGGATCCGAAGAGGACTTTTGTCAAGAGGAATGGTTTTGTGTGTTTTTGACACCTAGTGTTTTTCAGCTGCAGATTTCAAAGCACTTCGCATAGGTGGATCAGTATGGTTTTCCCACAGTAGAGAAGGGGAAGCTGAGACACAGACAGAGGAAATAACTTGCCAATGGTCACATAGCAAACTAGCTGGCTAGCTGGATTTAGAAGCCAAATCTCTTGACTTCCAGCCTCATACCATGTCTGCTGAACCATGCTGCTTCTCCAGGTTCACTGCCTGTCTAGAATTAGGGCCAATTGGTGACCCTGTGTCACAACTCAGGGCAACTTCACTTGTATCTCCCCTCAGTGCTCCCTCAGGAGCACCCACTCTAGGCTCCCTGATCCTCAGCTGTCACTTCTCTTGGTGGAGACACGTATCTCGTTCCCTCCTGACCAGGGTTTTTCCAGGCTGCAGAGTTCTCTGCCCACACTGTGATATTTCTAGCAAACCAGACTGCCTAAACAGGCCAGCATCTGGCTTTCTCTCCACAGGCTATGAACAACTGCAATTGCCAGCAGTTACAGGTTACCACCGGCTCTTTCTGGTAGGAGTCTGTCCTTCAAACTGCACATGGGGAGGGTGGGGGTTGTGGTTACGAGTTCATAACAACCTTTAGCTCAGAATAGTTAAGTCTCCCCTTTATACAGCTTGGGCCTTTGATCTTTAGACTCTGAATACAGGTGATCAGCAGAAAATGGTCCTCTCCTCAGGGTGTAGCTTCAAAAGGCTGGATTTTGGGCATAACTGGAGGTGAGGAATTTGCTTTCACCTCCCCCTGGAGGCCCAAGCAAACCACTTGATACTGTTTGTCCCAAAAGTTCATTCTTGTCTGGCACGTTATTAAATACAGTCCAGTTGAAGGTCATAACACTTCCCAGGGTTCATATCACATCTCCCCCCTAGAGAGAGATCACACAGTCCCAGCCCACAATAATACATAACCTTTATATTTAATTCCCTGGATCCCAAAGATACTTGAACTTCATTCAGTAAGGTTTTTCAGGGATATTGCAAGAAATTGCCATATCTGTTACATCTTGTGTCATAAATATAAAGGAAAGGGTAATCACCTTTAAAATCTCTCCTGGCCAGAGGAAAAATCCTTTCACCTGTAAAGGGTTAAGAAGCTAAAGGTAACCTCGCTGGCACCTGACCAAAATGACCAATGAGGAGACAAGATACTTTCAAAAGCTGGGAGGAGGGAGAAAAACAAAGGGTCTGTGTCTGTATGTGTGATGCTTTTGCCGGGGACAGAACAGGAATGGAGTCTTAGAACTTAGTAACTAATCTAGCTAGATACGCGTTAGATTATGATTTCTTTAAATGGCTGAGAAAATTAAGCTGAGCTGAATAGAATGAATATTCCTGTCTGTGTGTCTTTTTTGTAACTTAAGGTTTTGCCTAGAGGGATTCTCTGTGTTTTGAATCTAATTACCCTGTAAGGTATTTACCATCCTGATTTTACAGAGGTGATTGTTTTTACTGTTTCGTCTATTAAAATGTTTCTTTTCAAGAACTGAATGCTTTTTTCATTGTTCTAAGATCCAAGGGTTTGGGTCTGTGGTCACCTATGCAAATTGGTGAGGATTTTTACCAAACCTTCCCCAGGAGGTGGGGTGCAAGGGTTGGGAGGATTTTTGGGGGAAAGACGTTTCCAAACGATGCTTTCCTAATAAAAATAAACCCAAATAAATGTTTGGTGGTGGCAGTGGAAGTCCAAGGGCAAAGGGTAAAATAGTTTGTACCTTGGGGAAGTTTTAACCTAAGCTGGTAAAAGTAAGCTTAGGAGGTTTTCATGCAGGTCCCCACATCTGTACCCTAGTGTTCAGAGTGGGGAAGGAACCTTGACATCTTGCTTTATGGAACATCTCACATTTTAGCCATTATGTTTTTGAGAAACATGAAGAGCAACGTGTCCAGAGACACCACGGCAGTGTGACCTGTACCGCATCTTAGAAACACTAACAGTGGAGCTCATGGGTTCCAGACTTTACGTCTGCCTTGAATAACTAGTAAAACCCTCTTTTTTTCTTCTTCTTCTTCTTCTTAAGGTGAAGCTTCAGGTGGAAGAAAAAGAAGGGAAGAAATTTGAGGTCTTCACTGCTGTGGAGTTTAAAACTCAGCTGGTTGCTGGAATAAACTACTTCATCAAGGTACAGGGCAGAGGGGAATGGGCTCTCAATTTGAATTTTATATGTGTAGTATCTTATACTTCATTCTTGTTCAATTAGTTAAATACAAAGAGGTTCCTGTGATTTGGCCCTTAGAATGGGTGCCACAGAGGGACTGGCCCCTTGAAGAGGGAATGGGCATCTATTGCTCATCAGCTCACCCCCGATTTGGGCTTAAAAGAGGGCACTTGGGCCCTGGGTGGGGGGGTGAGATTGGCAGGTGAGAACTGTTTGAGACCATGGGGAGGAGAGAGGGAGAGAGAGGCGCACGCACGCAGAGAGAAACAGGAAGCAGCAAGGAAGAGCTGGCAGGAGTTGCTTGGCAGAGAGCTGAGTTTAGAAGGAGAACACTAACTATGAACTGCTGGTGAGGAGCTTGGAGGAAGGCTGTTAGTGAGAGGAGACCAAAGCTAGCGACCCATGAAAAGCAGAAGCCTCAGGCAGTGTCCCCTAGGAAAAGGGGAAGATCTAGCCCAGTCAGGGGAAGCTAAGCCCAGAAGTTGAGGGTTTTTGGAGGGGGGGGGTCCCCCCTGGGGGGAAGGGGGTGGGGTGGGGGGGGGGTTGGGGGGGAGGGGAAGGGGGATGAGAGGGGGGGGGGCCCCCGGAGGGAGCACCCCAAAGGGAGGGGGTGGGGGGCCCCCCCCCCCCCCCCGGGAAGGGGGCCCGGGGGGGGCCCCCGCAGGGGGGGGGAAGGGGGTGGCGCGGGGGGGTCCCCCGGTGGTTTCTTGCTGGTGGGGGGGGGGGGGGAGAGGGGGGGGGGATCCTCTTGTTGTGTGTGATCAAATGCTCCCCCCCCCCCCCCCCCCCCCCCCCCCCCCCCCCCCCCTGATGGTGGTGTGTTTTTGGTGGTGTTGTTTTTGTTGTTGTGGGTCCCTGTTCACTACCCCCCTTCACCACACCAACACCACCACCCCCCCAACTCACACTTTTTTAAATTTTTTTCTTCCTTTTTCCGGGTTGGGCTTTCTCTTCCTGCTCCCCCGGCCCCCCCCCCCAAACAAAATTCTTGACCCCCCCCCCCTTTCCCTTTTTCCTCCCCCCCCCCCCCCCCCCAAACTCACATTTCCCTTTCTTTTTTTTTTTTTTTTTTTTTTTTTTTTTTTTTTTTTTTTCTTCTTACCTTTCAGGTCCATGTTGGCAATGAGGAGTTCTTGCACTTGTGAGTGTTCAAAAGCCTTCCTCATGAGAACAAACCTCTGAGCCTCTCCAGTTATCAGAGCAGCAAGACTAAGCATGATGAGCTGACTGATTTTTAGAGGCTCTTCCAAAGCCTCTAAATTTTTTTTAATAGGCTACAAAGTGATGTTTCCTGTACCAATGAATAGAATGAAAGTGCATTTAAAAAATCTTGTCTGAAAAATCAATTCCTTTTCTAGAGTTCCCTCCCTCCTCAGTATCCCAAACAAAGGAACTGGTTCTTCTCTCACTTACACTAGTATAAAACAGGCATAGTTCCATTGAAGTCAATGGTTTTATGCCAGCGTAAATTCCATGTAAGTGACTAGAGAAGAAAAGGGAGTGTAACCAGTACAACTGTGACATACAGCAGTATAAGAATTAGAATTTCTTCTAGCCCTGTTACAGAATGGCAATGTTACTCAAATTGTAAAGAACAAACCCATGTTATTGTTAGTGAACTAAAGATGGAGGTTTACAACACTGGAGCAAACTTGAAAAAGTGAAAAGAAATAGGATCATACTCATTTGAAAAAGAAGCACTTCCTAGGCGATCAAATCCACCCCCCTGCAAGGATATGATATAGTTCCTAATAGAGGACACATCAGATATGACAGTGCTTCTTCACCAAAAGTCCTTGTAAGGCATTCAAACCACATAGGCACTTCTAAGCATATAATATTTCTACGGAAGGGTGTATTTAGCAGGAGTTTCACTCTGTTCTCTTAGCTGTTGAAGATGTATGATTGTTTTATTTGTAAGGGCCATCTTCCTCACAACCCCAAGAAAGGGCAATCTCCCTGACAGACCAGCTGCCATTGAAGTGCAGATTAAAAGTGCTATATAAGAGCTAAGTATCATTATTCATTAACTGGTTGAACAAAGGTTATGCTATATTTGTAGCAAGCTAGCTCAATCAGAGCTCGCCCGGGCCGGGTATGTTTCTTCATGTTGGGAATTGCACCTCCAGCTTGAAGTGTAGACATCAATAGGAATAATCATAAGATTCCCCTGAGACACAGGTAAGGAGAAGCTGAACACCTGAGGGAGGGGTGCATTCAGAGAGACCAGAAAGGCAACAGAGGTGCAACATGACAGTATCTAAGTATGGAGTTAGGAGCCGAATTTTAGGTAGTCACTTTTGAAAGCTTTGACCCCAGCAAATAGCAACTATGGTAAAAATAAGTTTTGAAGGACATATAAGAGGAGATTTTTCAAAGAACAAATGACAGTTAGGAATCTAACTCTCATTAAAACTTTCTCCCAAGAGTTTGAAAGATTTTCAGTATGAAAAAGGGCTGTAAGGGGGTGTGCTTCTTTAGCTGCTATGAGTTGATGTGGCACAGAGTGAAATGGATTCAGTGGAAATGGAGTGAAAGGTGTTCTAAAATATCTGGATAGTCAGAGAATTCAGCTGACTATGAGAGAAAGCAGGAGGCTCTGTGAAGCTCTCATCAGGAGCAGGGAAAGGTTGAGATTTAATATTGTGGATTTAATGGGCTAGAAAACCCTGGGATATATAGGATACAGAGCATTGTTGGAAAACAAACTTCATTTCAGTATCCATCCAGCAGAAATGGTGCTGCCAAAAACCAGAGCATATTGGGGTGAGGAGAAGGAACTTACTGACTGAGAGGACACTTTTTAACCCTGATTACAAAGGAGGATTCAGAAATTCCTGAGATTTGTAATAATAGCACTTCATTTCCACACCTGTCTCTAACACATCCATTTAAGTGGCTGCTGATACTATTTCCTGGAATTTGCTGAAGAGCAGTGCCTAACATTTCCTAGAAACTTGTCTTCTCATCTTGCCCATGGCCAGACTGGGATGCATATGCACTAACTATGTTTAGCAAGCCACATTCAAAAGCCAGCTTGGCTACTCTTAAGCTGATTCTATTTACTGTCAGCCTCTCTTTCCTTTATTTTACTCTCAAGGGCTATGCCTACTCCATGTCTTGAGTTGGAGCCCCCACAGTATTTTGTATTCTTTGCCAATTTCTTTGGCCTTTTCCCCTTTCTGTTTTGTTCCCTGGATGTATGCTCTCTGTGCCTTCCTCCTCTTCAGTGTCTCCGCTGGGTCCAAGCTACAGCCAGTTAGTGTGCCGACATTCCAACTTGCCTGTCTGATCTTAGTTTTCTGGGGTAGCTTCTTTAGCTGCGCATGTCCAAAGCTGGACCATAGCCCTGGCCAGCTTTCCACCACATTGGGGCGGGGGCACTGTGCATCGTTTCTAGAATACCCCTCATTTTCTTGATTCATTTCAGGACTCAGTGTCAATTTATGCAAATTTTTACAACCAGCTGCACAACCTGATGCCAATCTTCAACTGGGCTTGGAATTGGTTCTGGCAGAGGAAAAGTATTCACATGAAATTCAGGGATCTGGAAAAAACCTCTGACTGAGTTCCAGGGGAAGTCCTCTGGTGGTGCATGAGGGGGAAGATTGTGCAGAACTTGGTGCAGTTTATTGGAGCCATATATATCGGTGCAACACCAACAGTCAGAACTTCTGGTGCTGAAGCACATGAACTATCATTAAAGGTTGGAGTGCAAAAGGGATCAGCATAGAGCCCTTGTTTATCCTGGTCCTAGATACCGTCACAAGAAACATACAGAAGGAGGCACCTTGCTGCATGTGGTTTGAAAATGAAATTCTGTGCCATGAGGAGAGGATCTTGATAAATGGAGAGATGTGTTGGAGAAACATGAGCTCAAAATAAGCAGAGGAAAAACAGGGCAGGGTGTGTAATTTCAGTAATGTGAACACTGACGAATTCTCCCTGAAACTAGATTGGCAGACAGGACTGAAAATGCAAAGTTTCAAGTATCTGGGTTCCCGAATCTGGGTTAGTGAAGGAGAATAGTAGAGCTAGGATAAGAAATGCCTGGCTCTAATGGAAAGAGATAAGCGGTGCAGAATGTGACAGGAAGAAACCAATAAGATTCATAGGGAAAGTCTACAAAACGGTGGTCCTTCCATTTTTAATGTATGGCACTCAGTGTTGGGCAACAATGAGCAAATGATCCGGAGAAATTGAAATGCTGAGATGGACAAGTGGCGTAAGCAAGAAAGACTAGATGGAGAATGTGTGTGTTACAGACAAATAAAAATGAGGGAGTGGAGGCTCAGATGGTTTGGTCATGTAGAATATCAGGGTTGGAAGGGACCTCAGGAGATCATCTAGTCCAACCCCCTGCTCAAAGCAGGACCAAGCCCCAATTTTTGCCCCAGATCACTAAATGGCCCCCTCAAGGATTGAACTCACAACCCTGGGTTTAGTAGGCCAATGCTCAAACCACTGAGCTATCCCTCACCGCAAAACTAATTTCAGAGAAGGACAAAATGCATCCTTGCATTGGCCGAGAATCAAATCCAGGCCAACTGCTTGGAAGGCAGCTATGCTCACCACTGTACCACCAATGCATCTCTACAGACCAGTCCTGACAACTATATGGGTAAAACAGTCCAACAGATTAAGATTGATGGGGAAAAAGACAGAGGCTGACCCAACAAGAAGTGATGAGATGTTGTCATAAAGGAAGGCATGTTAGCATGTAGTGTGATTGAGGAGATGGCACTCTTGAGGAAGAGGACTTGTAGAGTGGACCCCATTTGATGGGATTAACAGAAGGAAGAAAAAGAAGAGCCCTTCTTAGTTTGTTGGTGTAATGAGATTTCAGAATAAGGTGGAACTAATTTGTGGCTCAAATTCTGAAGTCAGGAATGTTCTGTATTCTAACAGGAACCCAAGGAAGCTGGGTCACCCGTTCTGCAGACCTTTTTCAGAAAATAGTAAAAGAATGCAGGCCATATATTATATTGTTATGTGTGTATTATACTCTGTACTGTCTATATTGCTAAAGCGGGAAAATTATATTCATATGATCTTGGCCTCCATGCATTGTAAAACAAAGTATTCAATGCTAAGGAAATATTGTTATATATACAACACAAATTCTAGTACACGACTGGCTCACTTGTCACGTGACTGTTTTCAGCTAATGTTTGAAATTGGTGAATAATGCTCACTAATCATATCTCACATGAGAATGTCACCAATTTGGCTGCAGCTGACATCGGAAAAAATGATCACTGCTGAGCTATTCAGGAAGAAGAGATTAATTGGCATGTGGTGTCTGTTTGGCTGTACTTTGAGTGGCCCATCATACTACTTTTTCTGTATTCTTATCTTGATCTCTGTTGTACGTTAGGTTAATATGTATTGAAAAGTTGGTATTAAAGTGTCCCTTTGTGCTGATGTAATATAAACAATATGACATATTAAGGGAATCAGAGTAATTCTGGAAACAGACATAGAAAGCAACATATGCAGAAATCCATATGTACCAACCACAATGTTAGTTAATATTATCTCCTGCAAAAGCCGTTTCCTACCTCATACCAAGATTATGGAAAATAAGTAACTATGACTCAAATGAACT